TGTGCTCCCATTGATTTTCACGTGGCTTTGCAGTATTGTCTTTGAAATCTCTCCATAATATGCTCGTGGCCTCAGCGTAGTACTTGATGGAGTTACAGCAAGATGCCCAGCCAAGATGAACTATGGATTTATTAACACCCATTGAAGGCCAGGATTAAACTCTATCTGACCCAATCCTTTCTGCGCTGTCAAAACTTACACTAAGATTAATAACTAACTTCTGTCAAATGCATTTAAAAGAACTAAGGCCATGCTTTTTCCCCAGGTCTGTCAATTTTAAAAAAATATACAAGCAGTACCAAATGAGTGGCTGAGGAATAAAGGGCTTAGGTATCTTTGGGGAGAGGGGGAAGGCAGATATTTGCCTTTTTTCTACCAGTAAAATTCAGTCCTCTCCGCTGAATCTTGTTTGCTAAACTCAGGTTTGGATGCTTCCAGGTGCCTTTGAGCCACCTAAAATAAAAGCTCAGGAGGCTTGGGCATCCTCTGCAGGACATTTAGATGGTTATTCAGGCAACCTAAGATCCGAGCTTAAAAGAGTCAAAATCTTTTGTACTTAAAAACATAAGCAAACCCACTCGCGTACTTTTAAGATAATGCATTACCGAGTGGTGGAAATTAGTGGCACATAGTGTTGTGGAGGTTAAAGTAGAAATGCATTAAGGAAAGGAAATCTTAGTTAGGATTGGCTTAATGGTGGCTTTCAAGCATTTTGGGCCAAACGCAAAGTTTGGCACAGGAAATTTCCAAGTTGCTGATTGGCACAGAGTAAGAACAGAAGAACTGCTTAGTGGCACATTAAGTTAAACGAACCTTTCATCTCTGCAAGTCTTATATTTTTACACGTGCGCATGAGAGGAAGAGCAAGCTGCTGTCCTTTATAGCCTGGACAAATTATTTCCGACATCTCCCGTATCGTAGCAGGCCAGGGCGGATCGCCGAGTTCAGCGTGATAACCGCGGTAGAGCCCCACTGGCAGCAGGGGATTTGGACTGCTCATTTATCTCTGTGCAAACGTGATCAGAATTAAGCCCATTCATTTCCTGAAACCACTGGCTCACATCCTGTATGTGCTCAGCCATGCGATGCCGTGCATCTCGTAGATGCAACCACAGAAAACGAGGCCTTGCAAGGCAATATATACACACCGCTTTCCCCAAAGCACTGTTTCATCTCAATAAGGGTCTGAGGGTGATTTGCTGAGTGTCCCGTTCTTTTTAAGCCCTGTCCTATGTACTGTTCGACAGCAGCCTGCTGTTAACCCAGGCCACAACTCGCAAAGCACGGGCGAAATCGTCGTGTAATATGTTGTGCAAACGTTAGATTTTATTAATCGGGCATCAAGTTCCTACGAGCGTGGTCAGGAAGACATACTTCATCAGAACAAATATGTTGTAGGGCGGGTTTGTGTTTCTGGTGCCAGCCCTTGCACGTCATCTGCTCGTGGTCTGAGCGGCTGAAGGCTGCAGACCCTCCGCAATAGTTGGCTGGCTGGTTGGAATGTGCCGTGCAGCTTTTGTAACTGGTGCCTGTCATCAGTCTCCAGGTTCTTTTCCTGGCTTCTAACTGCTAATTCTGAGAGTTTGGTTTGTATTGGAGAGAGAGAGAGGGAGAGAGAGGGAAAAAATAAAAAGGGGAAAACCACACATTGGCCACAAATTGCTGCCTAACTTCATCTGTACATACCCTGCATACCTTATTGTACATATTGTAGGAACATTTGCTTGTGTGTGCATATATAAATATGTGAGTATGCCTGTACATATAGAGTAAGTAGGTATATTGCTGTGTGGTTTTACAGCTACTAGCTCCAAGTCATCTTGGGGATTTTCCGCATTATAGATGTGTTGTATTTGCATGGATATGCAATTGCCTTGAGATGTTTTGGGCGAGCTAGCTAGTTGCAGAGATGGAAGAAGCCCTTTCCTTCCCAGATTCAGAAATACACAGGAGACAAAGTGCCCGTGTGCTGTGTGATGACAAGTTCCCCAGGATGGCAGGAGAGGCAGAGCAGGGAGCAAACCCAGTGCTTGGGTGGAGGAAGAGGCTCCGCTATCTTCTAGATACTCTGGTTTTGTTATAGTTTGTGAAGATTATGGAAATGGATAAAAGTCAGAAGTGCTCCAGGGGCTGCACTGGACTTGGCAAGAAACCAGAAGAAATAAGACTTCTAAAATGTCACAGCAGTTCTAAAACTTGCATGGTTTAGGAGGGGAGAATTATTATTTCTCTCCTCTGAATGTGTTATAAAGAGGGGAGAGGAAGACGTGAAAATCCCGTATTTCAACATTTCTTTTCACCTAAGGTGGGCCAGCAAAACCACCTGTCACCAGAGCAGATTTCTGTAACCAGCGCTAAAACCAGAAATAGCTACTGGTGGCAGATTTACAGCTCCAGATTTCTGACCTTTGCTTCCTGCCCAGAGCAAGGACAGTTGTGTGCTGCGCTCTGTCCTACACACTCCTGGGAGAGGGAAGAGATGGAAAGGAAGCCAGGTTCTCTGTTTCTGGGACATGTTTGGTGCTGTGAGCTAGGGCATCACGGGAATATGAGATTCTGCAAAAGCAGAGACCCTGAGGAGGGGAAAAAACCATGCACGACAGCCCTGGCAAAAGCTGCCGGTGGAGCGTGCCTGGAAAGTGTTGGCGCGATGGGGAGGAAAGGTTTGCCACATGTTGACACTAATGCTGACGGAGTTCTGTGGGGAGGGATGGGGTCTGCAGCTGGATGGGGGGTGACAGTGGCTACGGCCCTCTCCACGTCTGCTGCTCTTGTTTCCCCAGTCGTCGCTCGCAGAGACAAAGCTCTGCAAACACGTCAGCTGGCACCAAAAGCCCGGAGGGGACCAAAATGGCACAGAGCTGGATGCTCACAGTGACTCAGAAACCTCCTAAAAGTCAGAGCTGCGAAGCTACTTCAGGGCTTTCTGAAAACTTTAACCAGTACGGGTGAAGCACACTGCCCTCTGAAGCCCACAGGGTTGGGTTTCCCGCTGCCATTTGCTCGATGCAGCCATTTTTGAACACGTGCAACGTGGGAAGATGACTCCTATTCTGACAGGCTGCCCGCTGCGCTTAGCTTGCACCGGGAGGGAGAGAGCAAAATATTTCTCTACATCAGTCCATCCCATTCACTGAAATCAATGGGATGTAAACATGTGTTTAGGCCTCTCTTGAATGGGAACCTAAATGTCCTTCTCTGCATGTCTTAATAGATCCCATTCAGCCGTCAGCATAGAAGATTCATTGTCACCAGTTATTGCAAACATTTACACGTTCTCTTCTCAGCCTGGTCTTCTGACCAGCTGAAGCCATGCCAATCTCGCGGGCCAGGCTAATCACATTTCCTGGCTGAAGCTGGTTTATAGATGACTTGGATATCACTAGCACACAAGTGAGGGAGGAAAATCAATCTTTACAACCCGATTCAAAGGCTGCTGAATCCGAGGGAATGATTCCTCTTCAAGCCAGCATGCTCTGAATGAGGCTAGACAAAAGAAAGCTTTGATAGCGATTGATTTTTTGAGGCAAAGGAGCTGCGTCTTTTGCTAGGTTTGAAAATGAGTTGTTTAAACGTAAAGGCAAAAATCCATGCTGGCTTGGGAAAGGTGATTGTGGCTGTGCAGAGGTCGCAATGATGAGACGCAGGCAGGCTGCAGCCTCTAATGAAGAGAATTGAGAGGGGCTGTGCTGGATATACAGAAGTACTCTACTGTGAGAAATGAGACGGTGAGAACTGATAATGAGAATGAAGAACTTCCTTTGATTATTGCTTCTCATTTCCTATAATGCAATCTACATCTTTAAAGAAAGCTCTTCTGTTAGATGTTAGATCCCCTTGCCTCCTCCGTGTGGTTAGAAGATTTAAGCACTAGTATTGAAAAAGAAAGGTTAACCTGAATAAGGTAGAATATAAGTCTCTTTTTCTTCCGATTTATACGCTGAATTAATGCAATGTAACGCCACAGGTATGAGTGGAGCCATTTCAGCTGTACAGCAAAACCTGGCAGGCAGGAAAGTGCAGAATGGTACATGGTAGCAGCCAAGAAGATGGTGCTGAGGGATTTGCGGAGAATGAACCGAACGCATCTTGGGTTGGTCCTGGATTTCACATGAGGACCGGGGCAGGTCTGTACCTGCGGTTTCTTTTAAAAAAAGATAGTTGGAACCAAGATGGAATTGGTGCGTGCCTAAATGCTTTTAAAAATCTAGCCCCAAATCACCTTTGAAAACAGCTATTGAACCTGTAGATTACGTTAGACGTGTCATACCAGGTCGTATATGCAAATTGGACCGGTGGTTTGGCTTCGGACAAATTACACAGACTTGTTTTTTCAAAAGCAGGTGCTGATTTTGAATGCTTCCATTTCAGTTGCGCAAGAATTTTCAAAGATGGTGAGCGTGATGCATCTGGTGTTGGATGTGTGAGGGCTCACACATGCCTGTTGCTACATGTTTCAAACCAAAAAATTGAAAGCCAGTTTCGAAAACAGAAGCTTAATCCTTCTGTACTTGCAGTTTCCGTATCTGTGAAATGGGGATGGCGATAATGCTTATCACCCTGCTGATGGCAAAGCAAGCTGCTGGAAATTTCTCTGCCTTCCTGACATTGCAGTGGGTGGCAGAACATTCACAGTTGGTACGGGGCAATGTCTGCACTCGAAACCCTGTTGCTTTGGAAGTAGCAGACCAGGAACACGGGCAACAGCATGGGCAGTGGGCACGTCAGTAATTAGAGGCAAATAATGGAATTGCACATTTCAGAGCAAACAGGATGCACACGTGCACGTAAGAGAAAAAGCCTTCTTGATTAACACCCAAGAGGAAATGAAATTAGAGACACTAATCCAGATAACCACATCGAGCAGTTCTAATGCGGGATGGCAGTTAGCTCATGGTAACAGCAACAGCAAAGTGCTACCAGCCAAACCCCACCCTGCGCCGCAATATTGAAACCCAAAATTGTTTCAGAGGCCACCAGCCAGCCGTGCATTTACGCACCTGAGTAACCTCGGTTGAAACCAATGGAACTATTCGTGTGTTTGAACTTGAGCACCGCGTTTGAATCCTTTGCCAGACTGGCACCTAAATTCATCCCGTTCTCCTCCTTGAACGCAGGGCCCGGCGGGGGAGCCTGTGGAAACCTGCGTGGCTCCTCGGAGCGCGCCGTTCAAAGGATGGCGTCCCCGCTGCCTGGCGTGCTGCTGCAAAGCTCAGCTTTGCCTTAAACTTCAAAAGCCTCAAGGCTGTTTGTACACTAGGCAGACCTTAAACTACTCTGCCCGAGACCTTGGAGGGTGTAGATGGGATGCTGCTAGGATTCGCTGATTGTTTTCACACAGACCACCGATAACAGTAACAAAAAAGCCGTAGTTTTCAGGAATTTTCATTCCTGTCTCTCCTTTGACGCGTACCTTGAAGCAAAGGGACAATTATCTAGTCACAACATTCAATTCCATTTGCATAATCTCATCTGAATTGTTCAACTGCTCCAACTACTTTTGTGATTAGAAAGAGACTCCACAAATAAACCGACTGCACGCTCCTGACGCTCAAGACTAACGTGTTGTAAGCAAGGGAATGATAAAGCAGCATGGTAAAAGGATTCCTTCCTTGCCATTACTTACACCCAACCTAGGAAACCACAAAATTTCACGTCTATCACTGAAATGAAAGTCACATCAAAGGCTCTGTAAGACTTGGGGATATGCTGCAGCTAGATGCCTAGAACAGTGTCTAATTGCCAGAGTACATTTTTGTGTCACTTACGGCCTGATGGCAAATTCGAATCGCCCAGATTTAAACCCAGCACTGCAGGGAGACTCTCTTTGTGCCCTCAGGCAAATACTTGATAATGCTTTCATGCTTGTTGGGAGGTGTTTAATTTGCAGAGACAATAAGAATCAGTTAGCCAAGGTTTTCCAAAGTGGCTGCCGACTTCAGGCAATCCGTTTTGGACCTCTGAAAAGAACTTGGTTTCCAGACACAGCAAAGCACTCGGGTTTCATAGTTAAGTTTCTTTTGGTGAATCGACTCTCACTTGTAAAGGAAAAAAAAAAAAAAAACCAAACAAAACCCAGCAATACAACTTTCTCCCATCTGCTTTTTTTTTTTTTTTGGCTTTTGGCGATCCAGGGGGGAATCAGAACTTTTTTGTGGTCCATATACAACCCCTGTGCCCCATCACTATCACAGCTCGTGCCTTTATTTTCCCAATCTTTAATGTATTTATCCTCTGAAACACCTGTGAGACAGGGAATTACTCCACTCCCCCACCAACGGGCCCCTGAAGCCAAAAGGAAGCAGCCCCTCGCCCTGGAAGCTGGCTGTGGTGCACGGAACCGAGGCAGGTGTTTCTCCTCCGAAGCCAGCAGCCGGCTCTCGCTGTGTTGCTCACTTGAGCTTCCTGTTAGTTCTGACAAGGTTTTCCGCTGACCTTTATATGTCAGCAAGGATGATAAACAGACCCCAATGACTGTGTCCTCTCCGCTGCCCCCCACTCCCGTAGAAGTCAGAGAGGGTGTTAGGTGCTCTGCTTGGGTTACAGGCTCTGGCATCCACTGCCCTCATCCCTCCCCGTATCTGCCAAACCGCACTGGCTGTCAGGAAGGACTGAAGTGACGTCTCTGCCATCCTTCTCCCCTAGAACAAGCTGGTGACAGCAAGTATGTAAAATTCTTAAGCTGTCATCCTCAAATCCGTGAGCTGTCACCTCAGCAAGCTCCTAGTCCTACGGTTGAAAAGAGGCAGTGGCAGCAACCATGGCGGGAGAGTTTTTATCTCCATTTGCCATGCGGAGTGGCGGGGCAGAGGTGGGGGGTGAAGGGAGGGAGCAAAGATCATTAAGACATGGCACTCCTGTTCCCGTGCCAAGGGATCTATCCCTAAGCCCAAAGGATCCCAGTACCTACTTCCAAATGCAATTCTGCCAATCTGACCTCAGGCTCCTGCAGCCCGTTTCTGCATCATCCTAAAAGACCTGTTTATTTTTTCCTGCCTCTTGTCATGTTTTAGCTGGGTGGCCTTGGTTCTACCCTTTTGGCATCCCCTTTGCAGCAGATGGGCCTATCTGAACACCAAGCACAAGCAAAGAAATTGGCAGTTGGTCACAGGATTTTCCTAGGAGAACATGAGAAGGATCGCAGCAGGCTGCCCAGCGCCCCTGGTTAGGCTGACTCACACAAGAAGCCTGGCGCGACACGATTCTTGGGCGCTCGAGTCGCGAAGACACAGCCCAGATGAAAATCACAGGGGTGATGCACTAGCAGAATTTCCTCTCGGTGCGATGCACTTTCAGAGGAGTTAAAGGCTGTGAGAACGGCAGCTGTCAAATGTTGGTAGGTACATGGGAATCCAGCAACCCCCCAATCACACCGTGCACTTCTAATGTGCCATTCTGCCCCTTAGAGTTCCCAAGGGCTTAAAGTCCTTTGATCCCGATGAGGATCAGCACCATTGGGGCAGGAAGCTGTGGGAGTCGGAAAGACACATCGATCCCCAAAGTCAGGGTCTTCACAGGGAGTTAAATCCTCTCCCAGAGATGGCATCTGATGAGCTGCTTTGGGAAGCTGGATGATGAAATGGAGAACTGTAAAGGCTGACCTTCCCATTTGCAAGTAGATTTTACCGTAGGGAGAAAAGATGAAATGTCACAGGGGAGTGGGTCAGTGAGACTCAAAATACCCCCAATCAGCTGGTTTCAGGTTGGTGTGAGAGGTCCCAGTTGTGCAACTCGCCCCACACAGGAGGCCTCTGGGGGACATCAGGGCCAACTCTGAGAAGAGAGGGGGTTAAACAGCACAGGGGATGGATGCTCGTGGAGCACTGAACCTGTCATCAGTGTAAAACCGGAAGGAAACAGCATCAGCTGTCCTCTGCCATCACAGCCCAAGCTCTCTGCCCGCTGAAGGGAACGTGCACGAGTCGGGTCTCTGTGGACCCATCCTGGCTCACCCTCTCCCTGGCCAGCTGACGTGTTTCAAACCCAAAGCACCAGGGTACCTGGGGAGCCAGCTGCACCCGTGCTGCCCGGGGAAACATCAGCAGGCTCACCAGCTCTGGAAAGCACTGGGAGGCCCCTGTGCCCCCCCAGCACACAGCAGATGCTCAGTGAGTAGCCACTATTTGTAAAACACTCTGCAGCCCCAGAGTATAAATGTGCTATGAACCGGTGAGAAACACCTGAGGTTTCTGTTTTTCCCCTCGAGGCTTTGGTACTGATTCGCACTCACACACAGGCTCTTTGCGTTACCGGAATGGTGTGAAAAAAACACTATTTCTCTAATGGAAGCTTTCGTAGCAATGAAAGTCAGGTTATTCCTGAGTAAGATCCTCACCCGGTGTGTATTGGTGTCGCTCCAACATAGGAAATGGTGCTGGGCTGATTTACGCTACCAGAGGCTTTGCCCTTTAGAACACGAACACATTTATGACACAGCTACGCTACGGGAGGGGGTCGAAAAGACTGTAAAGGGAATATAAATGTGTCTTGAAAGCCACAGCTGTAAGTTACATTTATTCCAAGACTTTTTTTACGTTGCCCATGGACTAGTGCGAACACGAACCAGATCCAATTCTTGTTTAGTCTGTGATTTTTATTTTTTTTTTTTTTGAGCAGTGCCTGGGAGAACTGACTACAACTTATCCATGGGTAATATATTGAGATTTGACACTTACTAGGACTTGGCAGCTCCTCTCAGGAAGAAATATTGATTGTGAAGAATAAATCCAATATAACAGTAGAACAAGGGAGCAGGACATCATTGACACCATTTACAGCCTGCAATTCTGGAGCGCCCTTTGTCTCGAGTGGATGGCAAATGTTAATTAAGATGCCCTCTCTGGCACCAAGCGACTTGATGTATTGTCTCATTTTAAATTTTTCTGTCTGTAAAATGGGAATGATACTTATTTCAAAGTAGCTGTTCATAACAGTGCCGTTCTCGTGCAGCTGTGAATTTCACCCATCCATCTCACTCGCCGTAACTACGGGTAACGACTGGGAGAAGAAGATTTTGGAGGTAGTGCTGGGATCGCTGCCTGTCAGCAGGAGGTGGTACTGTCTGCTTCCTCACGCGGCCTCTCCCTGTCCTCCTCTCTCTCTCGAGGCATTTGCTCTTTCTGGCTCCTCTTTAGACTGCTGGCTCCTGGAGCAGGGGTGGTGTTTGCCTGTTCTGTTTGCACAGTCCTCGGTACAACAGGATTGTGGCGCATAAAAATCAGGCTTCTACTCACAGGTGCCATGCAAGGGAAAAAACAATATTAGTGTTTCGTGCCCACACGAACTCGGGGCTTGAAATTTGCGTCATGAAACCGATTCAGTCGCTCTCAATGAAATGAGGAAGAGCTTAGAAGAAAAACAGCACCGCTTTATCTATTTCAGGTATTTCCGATGCCATTTAACGCATCTCCCTTCGCGCTCGGGAGGAACGTATCAAACATTTTAAGCTCAGCTTTAAGAGAAGCACGTGCTCAAGGGCTTTGCTGAATCAGGCCGTTAGTGAGAGCCGTGCCGTGTAAGAACTTGATGCATTTCATTGGGTAGACGGGAAAGAAAACAGTCACTTTGACAAATCAGGAGATGAAAAATCTCTCTGAAACACACCCGCCCCTACACTGGCAATTATTTCACAGTCACCAGCCACGAGTGATTAATTCTGCACTATCATGAACCGCAGAGCCTAGCTCTTACTCCACAGATGGGAAAAGAGAGGCACTTGCTTTGCGTTTGGTAAGAGCAGGGGGGCGATGGGTGTGAGCGAAATACAGTTAAAACCTCTTCGGATGTCAGGCTATGGGAGGCCAGGGTGTTTATCAGAGTTACCTATCCTCGGGTATGTCTCTGCATTTCTAGCCCAGAAGACAGATATCCCAACGTTTACTCAGGGCTGCTGTTTGCTCAGCCACCCTTTGCTAGCACTTACACGCTGATGTCCTGCCTGCAAGGTGTTCGCGCTGGCAGTGACAGGAGACTTCAGTCCCAAGGACTTGAATTTGGTGTCTGGGGAAAGCAGAGACATCAAACACATCTCCTGCCACTCCTCTCAGGTTCCAGTTTATAATTGCTTGCTTTCTGTTTAGATTTTATGCTGCTGC